ATTGAACATCAGATGATCTGGACTGTTTCCTGTCTTCCCAGTGCATAGAACACTATTACTAATGGCTTACCAGTAACTTTCCACATCCTTGTCAACTTTCAGTACCTTTACATTCTTGGTTACAACAAATCTAAGCTTTGGACCTTTTCAAGTAATAGCAATACATGGAATGTAAGATAAAAGAGAAGAATTAAGATTCTGAGATGAATATCCATCTTAAGGATGCTGTCCTTCTCTTTACAAAGAGGTTACAAACAGAGGTGATTCACACCTACATTCTTCTCAGGTTAAGGGTGACTTTATACTATTGTGTTCTAGGATTTACTTTATTTAATGTAATTGCTCTAATTGCTCTAACTGCATTTTGTCAGTTTTTGCAAAACAATAAAAAATTAATATTTGTTTCCTTTTATATAACAGGCTCCTGTTAATATAATATAATATGTTCTGTGCCTACTACAGTATAATGAATAGACTGTACTACACTGCATAGAATAGGTTATATATTTCTATATCCATTTAGTTTGTAACTATTTTATCCAATTTTGGATCATGGAGGGGCCTGAGCCTAAGCAATGGACATAAGACAGGACACCAATCCATCACAGAATGCACACAGACTCACACAAACTCAGATCAGGACCAGCTGTCCCAGACGCTAATTAACCCACCAGTAGGTCTTTGAATTAGAATTGTGGGAGAAAACCCAAACAAACATGGGGAGAACATACAAACTCCACACAGATAGTACCCTGAAAAATGAACTCAGGTCCCCAGCACTCTGAGGTAGTAATGCTAACCACTGTGCCACTGTGCCACACATATTTCTTCATATCTGTAGCAATTAAAAATAGCTAATTTGGTCTTAAACATATAGATATTTCTATATATTTATGTAATCACAATCATATGTATAGGATAATGTCCATCCTCCACAAATGTTCCACAAAAAAAAATCATAATCTTTAGATATGCACAGATTGTACCATAAGGCTCTGGAAGTATAAAAGTACATACTTTCATAAAATTTATAAAATTAACCACAGTTTCTAGGCTTTGAATGTAAAGAGTTACTTAAAGTAACCATGCTGGATTTTCAGATGTTTTAATTTTTAGGGACTCCTCATTTTAACTTGTTTTTCTGATCGTTCAAGTGATAAATGTCTGCTGTGGGTAATTACTGCAGAATTGTGTTTTCTATGACAGGGAGAGCAGATGTTCAGGGACGGTGCATGTTCAATATCATGCCCAGAAAAGGAAAATATATTATGACATTTTCACATCTTTTGGATGCTTGAAGGTGGTGATTCAACATAAAAATGTGAAAAAGAGAAACATATTCTCATTATAATTGAAGTATGCAAGATAAAGCCATTTGACCTAAATGTGCAGATACTTTTGTTAATCAGTTATGTGTCCCAGAGACTTCACCAGCTCCAGTCCCTGAAAAACTTGATCTGCATCTCTGCCAGGACTAAGGACTGCCCAGCAATCTCACCTTCTAACACACTCATACTTGTAAATAAAAGGAAAACATGTTAATGTTGTTCCTTACTATTAAGTACGAGAGAGATTTGGAAAAAACAGTCAATAATCACGGAAGTACAACAGAATTTAAGAAAAGGTACAGTTTCAAGGCTTTAATATATAAAGGTTATATAAAACCTTTGGTTTAATTTTATTGTTTCCTTTTAATGTTTAAATTTCTAGTGTCAATAAAGTCTAATTACTGTCATTTAATAGGAATAAATATTTTCACTTAATAAAAAGACCATTCAGCAAATGAGGCAGTATAAAATGGGCTTTTTGTGGAAATGCTTTATGCTCTGTTAAAGCCAACAAGCATTCCAGAGTGCTTTCACTGATAATGAGAGGGAGTTGCTGCAGCTATAATTGTCACATAACATGTTGCACTCCTATAGCTATCATTTTACCAAATTGAAAAACGGGTCACACAGTTGTCCCTTGTGAATTGACCAGTAGACCTCTAGAGTATTTAGCCTCCTGGTAGGTTGTTATTCAGTGATTTGAATTGCTGATGGCAGTTTTCAACAAAATAAATATTTTTAAAAAATGGACTAAAAACATTCCTCTGTTTTACTCACAATCTCACTCCCTGTTCTAGTTTTCTAAAAATACAATTGTGCGGCTTTACATTTTAAAGATAAGAAAAGACGGAATGCCATTGGTAAAATAACCATTTGCAGCAACTTACTTGCTGCCTAAAGAACTAAAATGGAGTTATACATCTTGCATGAAAATAGCTCTTTGATGTGTTACAACACATTGTATGTCACAGTGTTCCTCAACAATACATTGCAGAAACACAAATAATGCAACAGACCCAAACATATTCTTAGTTATTTCCTGTTAGCTTAGTAGAAGTAAGCTTCAGTATTTTACTGAGCAGTGAAAAATAAAGATGTTGACTAGAAAGATGGGATAATTTAGAATTGTATTACCATTGTGTCACCTGAGTAAGACTCTAATTTTGAGTCCTCCATCACTATTGTAGTATTATCACCACTCATCCATTTTCTAGCTGCTTCTTCCAGTTTGGGGACTTGGGGTAACCTATCCCGACAAACAACAGGTACAAGGAGGGGTACACCCTAGACGGCATACTTGTCCATTGCAGGCCAGACAAACACAAACACAGTCACACAGACACGCACACCTACAGTAAGACACGTTTTGTAAGAAGCCAATTAACCTACCACTATGTTTTTGAATCTGGGAGAAAACTGGAGCACCTGTAGGAAATCCAAGCAAACACAGGGAGAACAAACCAACTCCACACAGGTAGCACCTGAATTTTGGAATTGACCCCAGGGCCACAGAGCTCTGAGGTTAGCACCACTACACTGTCCCTGTAATTGTTTCTGGAACTTAAAAAGTCAAAAGGTTTTGACTTTTATTCAGTGCAGATGCCACTGACTATCTTCTTTTCATTTAAGTCATTTTAATTTATCATTTAATGATGACAACAAAACACTGAGGAAGGGATGCTAAGCTGTTGCTAATAGAACTTAGATATTACACTATTCAGCTACGCATCTTGCTAAGAGCTTAACACACGTTTCTGAATGGCATTTTTTCCATGTGCATGACCTTTTGTACTGAGGATTTATTGTATATCCAGCTGCTGGACACTCAGAATTGAAGTTACTGTTAATGGCTATTTCAGTACACATGCATTAATATCCAAACAGCTCACAGGGTTATCCAAAGTTAATATATAGTATTTAGTGATGAGCAAGTAAAAAATTGAAATATTTTCTTAACTTTTTAGTAGAAGATATACCAAATGAATTGTATTTAAATTTTACAAAGAATTGATTGAAATCTAAATCGTTTGGTCCAGTAGGGTTAAGGAAACCAATAAAACTGAAACCTTATAACTTTAAATTAAATATAATAGTGGACAGCAAATAAATGCTTGTTCTTGGAAACATACAAATATTGTTTTTATATGATCCTCTCTCATTGTGGCTTTGCACATTTGCATTTCTTATGCACAATGATGACCTGAGCCTGAAAGGATTATTGACAAGAGAAGACACCCATGGCTTTTCCTGCATGTTTGTATGTCAAGTTAGTTAAACAGTGACAAAATCTCACCAGACATGATGGTGCATCCCATCAATCAGAACAACATGATTAGATAATTTGTTTCAGACACTAATCACTCTTTATGTACAGAAGTGCCTCTTATTGTGAATTTTATATGTACCTACTTCATTTTTTACTTGTCATCTTCCCAGGAAAATGGTTGGTTCTTCCCAGGAAGCTTGAATGAACTTTTTCGTTAATCCCAAATTCCATCCCTTGTGCTCAAGACTAGATGTTTAATTTCTTCATATTAATATAACATTATTGTTTGTTATGCTAATCTAGCAACACTCTTAGCGCCCTTGGCTATAAAGGACTTTAAAGAAGTCATAGCCAACATTTGCTTGGAGTTAATTCCTAACCCAAAAGCTGTGGGTTAGCTTCCTATGTGAAAATAGATGTATTTTATTGTGTATTTAGAGTGAACTATGGTTTAGCCTCCTCAATTGAGGTTTAGCCTTGCAGAGTGAACCAAGGTGCCAGCTGCAAAGGTGGATAAAGGATACTTGAGATGAAATATGAAAAGAAAAATAATTTGAGTATGAAATATATAGTTTAGGGCAGCACAGTACAGTGGGGGCAGTGGGCATTTCTGTCTTATAGTGCTGGGGCTCTGGTTTCAGTTCCTGACCTGGAGTCCTTTCTGTGTGGAGTTTGCATGTTCTTCCCATGTGGGTTTCCTCTGGGTGCTCTGATTTCCTTCCACAGTCCAAAAACACACTGACAAGTTATTTTGCTTCTGGGAAAACTGGTGTGTATTAACTTTTATCTTTCTAATAAATAATGTAGTTTTCAATATTAAACCATCTTTTTACAGTGCGTAATTATCTTTCTAGGTAGAATACTGTAGCTTTTATTTGGCTGTATAACACAATTACTGTAGTAGTGGATACACACCTCTATTATTTGTGAACTGAAGAACCTTCTACAGTATACACCCTTACAGCCGTTTTTCCTATTTCTTTCAAATAAAGACAGAGAACATATCTTACACGCCAGTTTTAGTTTTTTACTTGCAGATTTACAAGAACCTCAGCTTGGAAGAAACTATTTACTTTAAAAACATGATATCCACATGTCATCACTGGGAATGAACAGAGCTGCAATTCATGGATATATTTTAGCCACAGCTCCTGATTTTTCATTTCCTTATTGTTTAAAGGATAGTTTAACACTGTTAATCCCATATTAGGGTCAGTCACAATTCATCGTTTTGTGTTACTGTTGTAAAAGGAGCGAGAAAAGAAGTTTATTTAAAAAAAAAGCCTCAGATTTTTTAATGGTGTGACATGCAACATCTTGATTTGATTTCAGCCCTGCCTCTCCAAGCTGTTTTTCCATGTTCTTTTGGACAACAGTCAGTTTAATGTGAGGACTGGGAGTAGTCAAAATGACGGATTTCTTATCCCAAATTGTTGGCATGTGTTCAAATTGTTTGACCAGTTGATTTACATTGATGAATCCCAATGGACTGTTGCAAGTATACAAGAAAAGAACAAAAAGTTCTAGTGATCATTTCTGAAACAACTAAAAAAGGGAGAACATACACTGTACTCCTTTGAAAGGATTTTACCCTAAAGGTAAGAGATTTAATTTGCTGTAAACAGAAATAAATTAAAAGAAAACAAGAACAGTACTTCTTAATGTTAAAAGAATGCAGAAAACATATAAACCATCTCATTTTACTTAGGTAAAAGTAGAACAGATGGGTATAGTTTTTAACTAAATGCATGTTTAAAAATAATATTTGGTGTCATTCATTCACTCACGATACAATAGTTGTATCGTAAATTCAGAGAAATGATTTAAACTCAGTCATTCAGATGTTTACTCACAGAAAAGAAATACTTTATAAATAAATGTAATTCGCGAAATTTATTTTTAAGTATGATGATCAGATGTCTTCCCCTTCTCATAGCAAATTCTGCTCAATGGAAATGTTTAATCATTAATCATATTTTACTTGTTGGATGTCTAGGGCTCTATTTATATACAAGATCTGATGTAATTCTTGGGATTTCCTGTCTTTGAATTTGATGCACAGATTCCACAGAACATCTAAAGTAATCTACTGTATAAAGTAATAATTTTACTGTACCAGCGCACAGACAAATATAAATGAATATTTTGGCAAACTTCAACCAAATCTATAGACTGAATGTATTATTTTTTATATAGGTTAAATTCATAAACAATTAATGGTACTTTTACTGCACATGATATTTTTTAATGTGTCTATTCATTTAATTTTTAATGTTCTGGTTTGTGAATAAACACTCGTATTTTAAAATATAGCTTTTTCTTTACATTCCAAAGTGCTTGTCTTTGTAGACAAACCGAAGGTATAATTTCACTGCAAAATGATGCTTAATTTGTCTTTATCACTTCTAAAATCATTATATTTTATTAATTGGTCTAAATTAGATGAGATTTTTTATTTAAGTGCAGTATTGTACTGTATCTATACGATTAATAGATCTATTATATAGTAAGCATAAATGCCTGTTATGCTTGATTATGCTTATATAGTCTGATTATGCTTTTCTATGCAAATACTGTACTCGTATTGTGCCAATTCAAAAATATAAGTGATCTTTTGAAATATGGAATAGGTTTTGAATGGTTGATTTAAAAAAACGGTAATACTAATACTCATACCTAATACCTTCTGTATTTGTTTCTGTGTTAAAATACTGAAATACTGTATACTGACATATACAATATATAGATAAAATACTTGCATGTTGCGTGCAAAGGCAACATGTAGTGACATTACTCTTATTCCTCTGATTCCTAGGCTCTTGCCTGTTTCTGGGTTCCACGCTGAATCAAAGAGAAATAGTGACCTCTCATAATACTTCAGCCAGCCATTGGCTTGTCATGGTTTTCTCCTTCCCTCTTAACATTAACCAGATGCTTGTATCTCTGGAAAACCTATTATATTGTGTGAAAATATAATTTCCTAATCTTGAAATACACTCTGGAAGGAACATTTTTGCTTTTGCTTGTGTGTATAAAAGTGAAGAATGTTATTCTTTACAGAGAAACTAATGTTTTGCCTTGAAAAGGTTTCTAGCAAATTTCTTAAGAAGGGATCTGGTCTCTCTGTCTTTGATTTGCAGCCTACAGTATTTAATCCAAGACTAAAATCATTTAATTTATTGCAGAGTTTGGAGCTGATCTTTTCTAAAATAAATACAGTGTGTGACTTGGTAGAGAAGAACAAATGACAAAGTTGGATATTTTATTCAGCCCTTCACCAATTCCACTTTCTCCATTGAGCTTGAAAGTCATCTTGGCAGGTTTTTGGTAATTATCTATTTTTATTTGATGTGTAAGCCTTTAGTTCCTGTTGCATATAGAGTGAAGCAGATTGATTTTGTGTTTCTCAAAATGTGTTACTTCCTGAATACCTATATACTGTATACCTTTCTCATTCATAAAATATTTCTATAGAGTGATGTACAGTAATATCATAAGGGAAACTTAGCTAACGTTCCTTTAGATTTGCTGTGAATGTGATAAAATTGAAGGAGAATAGAGAAAATTCATTTATTATCTATAAAGGTTTAAATTTGGCCTTGTTATTTACACCAAATAAGTTAAGAACTTCACAGCACAAGAAAGGTTACAGACTGGAAAGACCATCTGGGCTTTGTACCTCTTCTGCTTGCTAGTAGCTAATTATTCTGAGTACGTTCATCAACTATGTTTAGAAAAGAGCCAAGGTAACAGCTTTGAAAACAGAGCAAATTCAAATACTTTTTTGTCATAATGAGAAGCACAAAGGTACATTTGAATTTGAGAACAGGAGGCACATTTCTGCAAAAAAGGGTGTCCAGAACATGCTGTTGAAGCTGATACATACACTTCTTTCACGAAATGTTTGGCTTAGATCCTCAGATCAATTTACTATTAGTAAAATTGAAATTGGTTAGATAGGCTGAATGGCTCTTTTCTAACTAATCTTATGTTACTTTAGCATCAAAGCGTTTTTCACAGTGGTTGTTTTAAATGCTCTTCCAAGCAGTTTCCACTCGTGGCTTTTGTATTTTTCTTTTGATTCTGAAGTCCTTTGGACAAACTGTCACTGTCCTTCGGTATTTTGAAATTTTGAATCAGGTCCCCTTGTTGTCTTTTGTTCAAGATTGAAAACAAGGGTCAGTTCCTTTAGCCATTCAGTGCAGGCACATTTCTGTAAGCTCGTGAATGTATCTGGTTGCTCTTTAGTAATCTGTAAACCGATTTCAGAGTAGCAATATGTTTTCTGTATCATAGCGATACAAAAGCGGAGCTAACGTGTTTGGTATTGTGATATTAAGAGGGTGGCGTTAAAACAGGTTGCTGTATTTTATTTTCTTTGACAGCCTGAGACCAGGCTCATCGCTTTCTCTTCCTTGGTTCCCTCATGATTTGAGTTGCATGCCTCCAAGACATTTCTCCCATATTATAATACATTCTTATTTCCGCAACGTTATAAGGCACATTAAGGTAATATTTATCTTCTCAAAGGTTCAGTGAAACTTCTCATGATTTCCCACCATCAGGTAATATTCCAGATCATCCTCTTGTCCTTGTTATCAGATACAGATAACTTAGGTAAGGTCATGCACACAGCACTGCTGTACACACCCACCATTACTGTATCTTATAGACCATCTCTGATTTCAGATTTCAGATCAGGATTCTGTAGGAAAAGGTATGGTAACATGCTATTAGTTATTAGATTATGAAGCTATTTTGTGAATTCTTTAAAAAAGAATTTCAAATTTTTATTTAAATTTCACCAATTATCAAATTCCAAAATAGGTTTACACTCTTCTTTACTGAAAAATTAATATGTGATCCCACTTTAATTACACTTAGTTTTAAAAAATAAAATCACTAGTAATGTGCAATAAATAAGTTCCTTGTACAGCTCTGGCAACATTCCATTTAAAACTTCACCTATTTACTTCTAGTTTAATACAAAACATATGACCGTAGTGCATATAAAACTGATCTTCTGCAGTTGCTGTAGAGTTTATACATAACCCTGAAACTGTGAACAGTGACTCCGTGTTGAAGTTCAGTCTACATGACATTTGGCCTGTGAGTGTATGTCCCTGCTGTGAATGTTTACAAACCTCAGGCCACATTAATTTAGATTTTGTAGAAGTTAAACAGAAATCATTTTTATTGGCTGTGCTTTCCAAACACTTTCTGTGCCAGAAAAAACTAAAACTATTAATGAACTAAGTTTTTTTTATGCAAAGAGCAAAGATTTTTATTTTAAATGAGAAGAAACATTTTTACCTTAACATGAAGTGAAAGTCAAATATTAATGCTTAATATGAAGCAGTTTTTTTGCAGACATCATAAATAGCATTTGCTCCTTATACAACAAAGAATGTTTTTGTGGAAGCGTGCATTGACTTCAAAGAAACAAGTAAAGGTTAACTGAAAAGTAGATGGAAAAAACGCAGTGTTTCTGCTGCTGAGCTTTCTTCAGATGAGAATTAGGCTGGAGGAGACTCAATAGTCGAAAAGTTGTGTTTCTGTTTTTCAGCAAGAAATTAACCTTTAATTGTTCCTTTGCAAAGAATGTTTTTGTATTTATTTCTGATAGGAAGGCATATAACTAACATAGCAGACAATATGCATACAAGATTACAGTAACTTCTATTTCTTTATTATTTAATATTTCTTATTTAATAAGAATATATGGACACACGAGAGCTGTAGCATTTGTGTCAGAGACATTGCAGAATCTGCATTTTAGTATTTAGAATAGGTTTACTAATGGATGCATCTGCTCAGCATTTACTCTTAAATCAACTCGTAAACTCTTTATTTCAAGGTTGTTTTGTAAGTGTTGTTGTTGAGATTGTATTTAGATTGTGCTCTAGTTACTGTGACACTTATTGTAAAGCCTTATTCAACACAACAGTTAAATAAAATAATGTAGCTGTAACAATCATATTTACTCTGTTTTCTTTTTGCAGGGTTGCAACATTAGAAGGAGACTTTTCAACAAATGCTGAAGGAGTAATGACAATGACCACCATTCTTCCTAATACCTCGTTTTCCACATTAGAAGTAGAAAATTTATCATCTGCAACTGAAGTATGTCATGGAGTACCATTGTCTAGGTACCATACCACCCTGATTCCTGCCATATATAGTATTATCTTTATTTTTGGGTTCATCGGTAACTGCTTGGTAGTGTCCGTTCTGTGTCTAAGAATAGGACGCAAAACTGTTGCCAACACTTACATACTCAGTTTGGCAATTTCTGACATATTTTTCTTACTGAGTCTACCAATGTGGGCTGTGTACTACTCTTTTAGCTACAACTGGATTTTTGGGACTGTTATGTGCAAAGTCTGTGGCACTGTCTTGTGTATCAATTTATATGCCAGTATATTTTTTATTACCTGCATGAGCGTGGACAGATACCGGGCCATAGTACACCCCTTTCAGTCCCAGAGCAGTCGGAGATTGTGTAGGGCGCGTACTGTGACATGCATTGTGTGGGTACTGGCCAGCCTCTCGTCTTTACCCACCATGTATTTCAGAAACACTTATGAACTGAAACATGGAGTCACAGCCTGTGTAATGGATTTTCCCCAGACCCATTATTCTGAATGGTTTGCAGGAATGGCTTTAATGAAGAACACGTTGGGCTTCCTGGTTCCCTTCACAGTGATTGCCAGCTGTTACCTGGGCATTGGCAAACATCTACTTGGGACTCCAGGCCTGGAGCAAACTTCCGACAAACGAGATAAGGTTCTGAGGATGGTGGTGGCTGTGGTGTTGGCATTCTTCATTTGTTGGGTTCCCTTCCACGTCATCACTTTTCTGGATGTGCTGACCAGGCTCAATGTCATAACGAGTTGCAGGGTACAAGTGTTGATCGACACAGCAGTACCCTTCACACTATGCATGGCTTTCTCTAACAGCGCAATCAATCCCTTTCTCTACTGCTTTGTGGGCAACCATTTCAGAAAACAGTTAAGCCACCTGTATGAGAGAAGGTCCTCTAATCTCTCCCAGAAAAGGAGCTCCATCAGTACCAGACTTAGCTCCTTCTCAAGGAAACTTAGTGACCTCAAGGACATGGGAGCGCTTGAAACATTTGTGCACAAAAGAGGATCAGAGCAAATTTCTGTTCAGCAGACACCAATTGTAGTTTGAGACTATGTGACTTGTTTTCAAAAAGGGAAGTTTTTTCTCCTGTGACGCTTGGAACAGTCACCACTTTGAGAAAGACACCACACCGGGGAAAGTCAGTAACTGGAGAGAGGACAATGGAAGAAGATTATTCTGTTCTTTTACTTTATGTTATACTGTACATGTACAGTACATGTAAAGTAATGACGTTTCAAGGTCAAAGCTATTTCAAGGTTTTGACTTCATGCAGGCATTATCTGGATCATTGAGCAAGTATTTTTATTTTGTTTGAGAGTATGATTGATGTATTTCCCTGATTTACATGGTGAGTGACAATGCCTTTTGAATATGCATAGCCTTTTATATATTCATATATCTTCATTAATTGTTTGACAAAGACTTCAGGGTATCTATCAACACAGTAGAACACAGGTACAGAATAATTTCTTGGGATTGTGTTTAAACTAATTTTACCTATAAAAGATTCAAATGTATTACATTACTTTATAAGAAATACTTAATATATGCATTCATATACTAAATAAGTTAACGATTCCTGTATTATTTTTTACTCATTTTCTTACTTTAGTAATTGTGATGTATTGAACAATTTTGCTGTTGCTTGCTTAGTGTTAGGTCTTGATTTCAGGTAGTGTGAATTCTTCATCTGCAAGTTTATTACTTGTCTTGTATGATAAAGCAGATCCACTGTCTTCTCTGTCTTCTGCTTCCATCCCTGCCAGAGAGCACATTACGTGTCCTCCTTAGGTTCCATCATTCCTATTTATTAGATAGTAAAAACATTCAAAGGGTTACAAATGAGAGGAAACCTTTCAGCCCATTCAATTTATTGATTGGTATTAGTTAATCAGAATATCCCCGTGTCAGCTTTCATCACATGGCTAAGGTAGTCTATTCCAGACTAGTATAAGTCTTTTAACTTAAAGCTAAAGTCTTTGGGGAAAACTGAATCAGGGAACCCTGACCCTTGTGCTTTTTAGTCACAGTTTTTTCTGGTTTGAATTCTAACCGTTACCTAATACATAACTGAACAAGATATTGACTTACAGTACTCAGTCTAGATTGAGTTTTGTGTTTATATTTTGCTATTGATTAAGATAACTATTAAATCCAAAAGTTGTTGCCATCACGTGATACATCAGTTGCCAATGTTGTATGAACTCAGTATCATAAATAAAGTGTCTCAGGCACAAAATGTGTAGTTGAATGGAAAAGTACAAGACAGACTTTAATCATTTTACCCTGTGAGAACAATCCCCCGATCTCAATCCTACTGAAAATCAATCCTACACACCACTACCCTCATCACAAAAGGTGATTGCACTAGACCAAAGTGTATGGGAATGGGTTGGAAATCTTTCAAACACTTGGAGAATACAGCACGCTTTTCTTATTACTCACAGCAACCCAGAATGTTATTAAATGAAACCTGATATTCTTTTCATTGATTGTAATAATCAAATTCTAATCCCTCATTCTTTGTTCTGTTTAATTTTAGACAAATTAGCTGGCAAAAAAGGTACTGGCAAGTGCAAGGTATATTTACTTAAACAGAAAAAATATATAATACATATACATATATAGAAGGCATGACAATAGTCTTAAATTCCAAAAATACATTTGTGGTTTATTAGCAACCGTATAAATTAGAGAAAATCTAACAATTTAAGGTTAGGTCACTGAAAAACCAGAAGTGTTAGTCTGGAGACCACTATCTTCCGGATCTTAAAAACATGCTTGAAAACCAACTTTAAAGCATAACTGTTTTTAACATTCTTTAGAAGGGTAGCTAGACGTGCATTATATTGAATTATAAAAGTGAAGGTCTATTGTTCTAGTAATAGTCAGCAATAGTCAGTTTACGATCCATTGAATATTGATATTCAGATATTCAGTAATAGTGATGCTTTGTTAACATTTGGTTTAATTTCATGATTAGTTTATTAAACTTCCATAGAAACTCAGTTGAAATAAATAATATCAACCAAATTCCAATTAAACCTTTATCCATACAACTAAATAGAAAGCATTAACAGTGTTATCATTGCCAATCAATCTTTTTTGATGAATATACTAGTGGAGGCAGAAATGTTTTAATGGACATCATTATATTTCACCAGTTATATATTGAGTTAAAAAAATGTAGCATTGCAAGAAGAGGTCAGGGGAATTTGATGTTAGTGCAGTACAAATCCCCTGTTACATCCTTTCTAAGCAGGCAGGCTGTGTTGCAACATGTAAGTCTTCAAAACTATTCCCGTTTTGTGCCAAATAAATGTCACACTTATTGCAATACATTGCTGTTAACTGATTTGTCCAATATGCCATCTCTTTCCTTTACAGAAAGCAAGATAACATGTGTAAGCCCCACACAACCCAAGGGTTTTGTATCATTTGATTTAACCCATGACCTGTGTTCCTGTGGCCAAAATAGTTGCTGCTCATTCTTTGGGAGACCAGTGTCTAAATATTACATTATTTGAAATAGAGACAGACAAAATGACAAAAAACAGACATCCTTACAATATGTAGGATTAGACACTTATGAATAATATTAAATAATTAGAAACATTTTTTTTAATTTACTTCCACTCCAGTAAAAAAGGGAGATATATACAGTATGCAATATTTCATTAGGCAGAAATGATTAAATTAGTCTTTTACTAGAGTGCAGATGGAGAACATTACAGTGTTCATCATTCAGAACCATCATGTTTTTGGATTGTTCTGGCCATGATCTTTCCCTCACATTGTCTCGTTGATGCTCAAACCCCAGAAAGCCCCACACAGGGGGTCAGTGCAGCCGTAAAGCACAAAATCCCCTGTCAGGTGAAGACGAAGAAGCAGGCGGACAGTGGAAAGAAGGATGTGAAATAAAGACATTCATTGGATGTATTGCTTATGAACTTTCAAATGGGTTAGTTGATGAAGCTGATCATGTGGTGAAGCAGTTGTCAGAAATGTAACGCACCTAGAGTAGGTTGCGTTTTTTAATTCAGTTTGTGTCGCATACATTTTGCCCAGTCACGTAAAGTTTAATTTAAGTCCTTTTAGAAAACAATAAATAAATTGACATCCTTTTGTTCTTAAGTAAGCCTAGTGTAATTGATCCTTGTGGAAACTGCATTGCTTAAACTCATACTTAAACTCCTCTGTGGCCTTGGCCCTGACAGGATTGCCAGGGATCTGCTGTTCTCTGTAACGTAATGTCACTGCTGTCTCTGTGATTAAGTTCATCTACCACATCCATGAATTGGTCAGGAGTCTGTATTTCATGAGAAGACAAACTTTTAACAGTTAGAGTCAGTTCTAGTTATTATTGAAATAAGTGACCCATATAGTTTAATCAGTGTCAGATTATAGAAAGTAAAAACTATGATTTGGCTTTCAGGACTATTTTGTAAAGTTATGCAAAGCTTATCAATAAAAGCAACAGTAGATGTCATAGGAATAGAATATTACCTTGATTCACCTAAAATGATCTCATTACAATCATATTTTCAGCTGCTGGGGAATCATTATTACATGTGCCTTATACTCTATGTCAATGTTTCAGTGTTAATAAAGATTTATTTTTACTTTAAAACCCATAACAATAATGCTAGTATTAATGTAATTTCATCTCTACAGAGTACCATTGAGAAGAGATTTAAAACACTAGCATGTTCATTCATTTTAAAGCTGATCAGAGTTTTAAATACTTGTCAAAGTTAAAGTAAAGTACAAAAAACACTTTAAAATGGTAAAAGTAAATTAAAAATGTAAAATGCGCTCATGTCCATTCAAATCCACAATTTATTCAGAGACATTCAGCCACCTGTCAGACTACCACAGGTACAGTCAGTAAATTTAGTTTAACTGGCTTAAATGAAATAAACATCTTAAAGGAGATTTAGTAAAAAGTTATAAGTTGTGAAATCTGCTGCGAGTGAATATTAGGAGGCATGTCTTGCAAATCCTGTGAAACTGGTGTTTTCAATATTTTTAGGAATTTACTGTTGGGCCTTTGTCATGCCAGGATAATGTTGAGTTGCACATTGAATCTATCCCTTCAACTCATATTCTGTACTGAAAATAGGGCTCAGAGACACTAGAGTCATTCTTTGTCAGGGCAGATTAATTATTGGAGTTGGATGCCCATCTTCCTTTTTTATAAGGAAAGACAGTCACACTCTGGGACAATCTAAAGTAGTAGATTAAATACCTGGCAAACCATAAATCTAGATTTCTAAACTTGGCACATGTTTCTGATGGGTTTCCTGGGTAGTGTGGCTCATACCCAAATATTATGGTCATTAATGACAGATACTTCAGTTTCTCTGAATTTACATGATTTCTGATCCCAGGGACTCTGCTGATGTTTGTATCGGTCACCTCTGTGGCATTCTAGGTAAGGACCCCAGTCTGCTGTTGGAGTGCAGGCAGTTCTGATGCGCTGAAAAATAAGAGAGATAACAATGACTTACTAATTAAAGAGGAACATGTTTCTTTGAGTTGTGTGTAATATTTAAAAAACGTGTTTCTCATTACTGTAATTTGGGTCTGTCTGTCTAAAACTACTGTAAGTATAAAATAAGGAATTATTAGTTAACAATGGCGCCCCTCTCTGTGTACTGTATATGATGTACAGTATACAGAAATAAGAACTGTTACCTTAGAATCACTGCAGTGTCTCTTATATCTTCTAAGCCAGCTTTCGTATTTCAGTTACAGTTACTATAAACATTCCATAGTTTAAATGCAAAATGCTGCATTTAAAAAAAGGTAAATTTAAATGCTGCAAAGGGTGAGTACTATGAAAATCTCCATATTAATCTCTGCTTTTTAAAATCAATATTCTTTCTTTATGCTCCTGCAATCTGAGACGACAAAATGTTCGTGTACTCAGCTTTGCTGATATGATCCTTGTAGCAGCATTAGGTTATAACCTCATTGCCTGCTTTCCTCAGAAATGGAAGCCTGTGGGAGCAATCTAAATTTCTCGATAGCCCTGTAGTTACTACCATAGAATCTATTTTCAGCTGAAGAATCGAAGGCATGATGTGGCTGCAGGAGAAAAGAGTGTGGTCTCACATGTGCCTGGCATGTGAAAAGAGGGTCTGTTTTATGTTACAACATGTCTGGTTAACTCAGGTTCATTTGGTGAAAGCTTGCTACTGTACGTGATCTTGGTCACATGCAGCTTAAACTGGGAATATCTGCCCTATTGAGTATAAATTGTGATATGATTGAGTTCCTTTTCTGCTATTCAAGACAGAATCTCTGCTATTTTACGTCTCTACCACACACATACCCAAGTCCAGAATGTGACGAAATAGTGAATGTGCCACATAATGTAATCAGTCCTATCAAAAGTTTTTTTTAAACTATGATTTTAGAATTACAGAAGATATGGGATTCTACCATCCGAATGAATTACTTTGAATAAAGATCTCTGAGAAAAATGATTAGCTAATCAATTTGCTAACAAGAGGAAATGGAAAGTCGTGGCATGGCTATAGTATTATCCAGACATTTTCTTGATAAGCGTGACACAGGAATGTTCTCTTGCCTGCCAAATGCTCCCATTAGCTTCTATTGCTTTCAAAGCTGCTACAACTGGAATCCAAATAAGGCAGACAGCAGTCATACACCATCCGATGGAGGTCGCCCAGTTTGGGTAAACCACTGAACCATAGGATGGGGAAGTGAAGGTTGCCAAGGACCAGAACAAGATTGCCTGTTAACAAAATCATGAAAACGTCCACAAGGTTAGTTCATTTGTTTGTACTGTACTTTAGAGATAAACTGAGCCATGTTCTTCACAGAAAATCAAAGTGGTGCAATAAAATAATATAGTTTCATGTCCTACATGGAAACATTTTTTAATACTTATAATTCCTTGCACTCTACTCAAGGTGCTTCACAGGTAATGGGGACTCCCCTCCATCACCACCAATATGCAGCAACCACCTGCAACTGTATGCCATAGTGCGTGCAGTATGCTCACCACACATCAGCTAACAGAAGGGAGGAAAACAGAGTGATGAAGCCAATTCATAGATGGGGGTTATTAGGAGGCCAAGATTGGTAAAGGTCAATGGGAAATTTAGCCAGGATGCTGGGGTACCACCCCTACTCTTTTCAAGCAATACCCTGGGATTTTTAATGATCACAGAGTCAGGACCTCTGTTTTTACATCTTATCCTTTTTACAGCATCACTATACTAAGGCATTAGAACCCACACAGATCACAGGTGAGCACCTCTAAAACTGGCCCCTCTAAAACATTTTCCAGCAGCAACCTTGGACCACGAGGTCTCCCATCCAGGCCCACACATGCTTAGTTTCGGTGGGTTGCTAGTTGTGCGTTGCAGAGTGATATGCCTGCAAATTTAGTATGCTAAAATAGATTAACAATATTTATTTCTTTTCACACAAGCCCCTATGTATACACCCAAGCAGAAGAGCTTTCCATTAAAACAAACATCACCAAAAAAACTCACTATGAGTATACAGGGAGAAATGAAGAACCAGCAAGCTCTCCACCACAACCAGAACCACCAGTTCTTTTTCCCAATCATCATTTCAATGTCTTCAATAAATCGGTTGCCCCCTGAGAAAAAAAAATGAAGAGTGTAAAAAGAGTGTTTTGTCACAGTAGCTAAAAAAGGTTAGGTCTGGTCAGTAATAGGATGGGAGAAATCTAAAGAGCCTAAACTTAAATTTTCACCTTAATTAATCTGGTGAAGTACATTCTTACTGTACTTCTCCAATTCATATGTCTAGTGTTACTGTTTCTGAGAGTCACACAGATATGCCATAACATGGATTCTCTCCTATAGCTAAAGGAGAGTACAGCTCTATGGGATAAATATATAAATTTAAGGAAATTTGTATTATTAATTTTTATCTATGCATGCTAGCAATACCACAACATGAAGGAAGGAAGTAATTAAAGTAATTAGAATTTTCATAGATTTAAACGAAACACCTACTTTATTTAAAAAATAAAGTTAAAATCAATCACAATTTATTTCTTAAAGTTGTTAAGAAATTGGATATCACACTTTTATCTGCCTTAGCTTTTTTCTAACATCAGTGTTTTTGCTGAATTTTGTGTTGAATGAAGTACATTGTACTGTAGCAGCTGTCTAAAACATAACAGTAATTTTAAATCAGATAACTTCTAAAGACATGGAACAATTTAACTGTAGCAACAGTTAAATTGTTCCACAGTTCCCTTAATTGAACAAAGACCTCAAAGACCACAGTTCTCTTAATTGAACAAATTACTTGCTTAATTGGTCAATACCAAATGTTCCTATTTAAAAAAAAACAGGTGAATTGAGATGACCTATAAGTAACTGAATCAGAACTGTACAGGAGAAGGAATGCATACAGATAACATATATATGACTGAAATACATCCATCTCTACTCTCGTATATGCATGAACTAAAATGTCTAAAGTGTTTGTGATTTGTTTTCTTTTTTCTCTTATTAAAATATACTGTAATCCAGTCACAAGCTATATTGATTAAAACAATTTCTTCCAGATGAGGCAAGGCTCAAAGGAATCTATCACAACCTAAAAGAATTAAGATGACTCTTTGTTTTAATTTTATTCAGAACTTTATTAAGTGTAGTTTACCATATGCAAGCGTTTGTATATTATGAAAACTTGCTAAAGCAACAGTGAGGAATTGTTTGAAGTCATTCCCATTCCACATTGGACCACGGCCACCACCAAAATTAAAAAAATACCAAGAATTTCAGTAAAGAGACACTATAGTTGCCACCCGTTTTCTGTCTGCTTCATTCAAATCAGCAGATTGAATGAGCAGTTTAGGTAAAATAGATTTTACTTTAAGATAATATACAGCATATTCAAATGATGACTATTAATACCTTTGATATTAGTTCATATTGAATTTTAGCTGAACAAAGGAACAACAAATTATTATTTAAAATATATATTTAAAAATCTTGAAAAAAGAAAATAAAAAAACAATTGATGCTAATTGTCTGGAACTTGGAGGGGAGTATTTAATAGTAGAGCTCATAAAGCCCCAGATTGACTTCAATCAGTAATAGAATGTTCAGAATCTGTAATGGCTTGTAAAATAAATAAAATCTGGAATAGGACACTGTACATCTGAACACACTGTAAAGTCCAGGCAAATCCACAGATTTGTATTTATAGATGTTATGGATGGTGACATCAACTGTATTATAATTAAAATATGTATGACATACTGCTGAAATTATTTGCAGTAAAAACCTTCCAGAAGATCTGTTTTATAAGAATTGAATTATTTAATTAACAGTGCTAGACTAAACTGGAAATATTTATGTATATTTGTAAATCTGGAAATATGTATGTATATTTATCAATGTGGATTTAATGCGATCCACTTAAGTCAATTAAACAAACTGATAGTGTTGAACCTCTTTATTTTGAAGCCAGGTGTCTCTTGTGTGTCAGGTGTTAGTTGTTGGGTAATTAGGCTCATAAAAGAACTCTGACCATGATAGCAACACCCTTCTTTGAGTTAAGTGTTAGAACCCAAGAGCTAAATTCAAAATAAAAGTCAAATAAGTTTTTAGAGAAAATCAGGTAATTTTGAAGAAGAAAGAAAAGAAGAAAATCTATTGGAGAAAATGTGCCACTTCAAATTGCTCCAGTGGCTATAATTGAAAAAACAAAAATATATACTTCATTTTTTTTAAATGTAGTCTACCACTGTATGTACGGTCAGCATGGATGGTCAGCATTTAATGTATTTCTGAAAAAAAAGTTAATATTCACCATAGATGTAACATATTCCAATGATTTCCAGCACTGCAGCAAAAAGAATCATCCATCCAGCACAGAAGTGGTCAATTAATTTCACCCAGTATATGCCAGCCTGAAACAGAAAAGACCAGGATTTAGGAATCCGAAGATATGTAGAAATTTACTCAAAATGGAATGTACACTTCGTGTGATGTTACACGGGATAAGTAAAAATGAAGAACAGTGTGTTGGGGAAAAAATACTTTCAGTATCTTTAAAGTACAATCAAAACAAAGAAGCCTTGTATTTCAAGGAAGATCAAATGATCATTGATATGCTAAAACAAAACTATAGCAAAGGTAGATTCTTGCATAGATGAATTTGTTTATTTTGAAACGTAGCAGATCCAACATATGAAAATAATATTCCAGCCGACATATATATTCCAAATGTAGGAGATTGCATACACAATAAACAAAGATAAGTATTTAACAGAGTTCTGAAACTCTGAAATGAATCATATTTGGAATACCTCGGAAGAATGTAAGTAATTATTTTGTTATTGTGTGCACATAAAGTGGAATGTTAGATAAAACCACCAAAGAAACCAGAATTATATTTTCTAACAAAATACTGTGAGTACATGCTTTAATTGAGGCACTTACCCTTGTAATACAAGGTAGACCAAGCAAGAAAAATAAAATACAGGCAGCAGCTGTCATATGAATCCTTTTAGACTTGAAGTACTTAGGAAGTTCATCCTGAAGAGTGGTTGTAATGGTTTCTGTGGAGAGAAAATAACTTTGAATGGAGGTGTTATTCTTTTACAGTTTCTGAGGGTGATAAAGGCTCTTTAACAAATATTATAACAATAATGACATCCACCAATTTTTGTATCCAATTCATCCAATTTTGGGTCAAGGTGGACCCAAGCCTATCTCAGCTAGCAATGGGTACAAGGCAGGGTACACCCTGCACTGGACACCTGTCTATTGCAGGGCACACAGACACAGATACAGACATGTGCACATTCACACCAGGGCCAGTTTTTCCTAGAGTCCAATTAATCTACCACTATGTCTTTGGACTGTGGGAGGAAACCAGAGCACCAGGAGGAACCCTACACAAATATGGGGAGATCATACAATTCCCAAACAGATAGCACTCAGAACTGAACCCAGGGCTCCAGCGCTGTGAAGCAACAATACTAACCAATGCGTCTCTGTGCAGCCCAAAAGATGGCATGTACTGTAAATGTGACCAATTTCACTTAAATGTTTAATAACACTTATCTGCTACAGGTTCTTGTTAAACTTATAAAGGAACAATGATACATTTATCAAAAACATTTTGCAGATGTTTTGACAGAACATTCAACCATTTCGTTATGTACCGATACACATTACCAGGAAACTTACCTACAGTTGCAAACACAGAGTCAAGGCCCAACGTCAAAAGCATAAAGAAAAACAACACAGACCACAGAGGTGACACTGGCAGATTTGAAAGTGCTTCAGGGTAGGCAATGAAGGCCAAGCCAAAACCTGAAAGGAAATGTAAAATGTTTTTAGATAAATGGAGTTTTTAATGAAAATGTGGCAGGAGTGACGGCAACCTTACTCTTACTTATAAGCATCCATGATGTCTCTTCCTAAAAAACTATACAGTAAATTACCATAGTGAGTCTCTCTCTTTCTTCACCTTTCTGCATCCCTCCTTCACCTCATCTCCACCTTAGCTGTTGCCCTTTGGTTAATCCTTCACTATATATGGGGGTCCCACCTCCCTCACACCACTGCAAGATGGATGGCCTCACTTCCTAGTGGGGTATGCCAAAATGTCATAAGCTCCAACTCCTCAATAAACATTCCTTAATGCCTGTTCATATTGGAAGATGTTATTTCTTGTGCATTGCTTGGTTAAGTATTTTTGCTAAATATTTTTCTAACTAGGTTACAAAAAAGTTAAGATAACACCATAAAACGTAAATATGATGGATTAGTTCATTTGTCAGATAGCAGCCGGGTCTAGAACTGAACCCAGGTAGTAAATTATAGACCCATGTTTCTTCCCAAAAGCTGACTAATCAGCATTTGATCGGGGATACAATACTAAATATCTGGGTCATTTTTGGATCAAGCGGCCAAAGATGGGTTCTCAAGACTGATACATAATCTGGCAGCTGTTTACTTATCTAAAGCTGCAGTGTTGCATGTGGAGGAAGAACAACTTTGTCAGAATACCAGTAAATAACTTATGCTTCTCTAGGTTTTCTGTGGATTAAAGAAAGGATTCCCTGCTTTCTTCCTGATGGTAACCCATCCACTGTTAGATAATGGAATCCTTAAAATTTTTATCTAGCTGCAGCATCTTGTACTGTTTTTGAAAATGCAGCTAGTAGCCTCAAGCCAGGTAGGCAGCCGTGAATTTTTATATGCACTGGACTAAATGTGGTGCTGTACATTGAAAATCTTTCTGCAATGGACACAATATTTATACTACACCTGAATGCTACCGCCTTTCTGAAAGAGGTTTTCGTGGGATAGGTCTTTAAATGGGTTAGATATGAAACAATGGATAGCATGGGCAGTTGTGTGCATGTGTTATGTGGTGAGTGGCTGTGTGACCTTCCAAGTTTCAAGAAATTGAGTGGAATTTCTGTGGTCTGTGGATGGGTTTAACTTTACAGATGGCACTGTAGCTATGCAGTGCTGGGGAAACTTTACCTAAAGTCTTGAACCCTTTCCCAGGGCCTGCACCCATCAGGATCAGATACCTGGCTTCCTCTAGACCTGAAGTACTGTACTATTAAACTCCCCCCTGAGAGCGTTGTTGTTGTAGTTCTCTTGTTTAAGGAAACTCTCAGTGACTGTTGAATTTAGGACTTTAGACTCCAAATAGCAACTTAGGAAAGATTATATAGTATCAATTCCACTCCTCCAGAGCGTAAATCCAATATGAGATCTTTTGCTCATGCTTTCCCAGGTATCAAACGTAAAATGTTGCCACCCCTCAGCACACTAGGCTAATCTCCCTATTTATTTATAGAGTTCCCCAACCCAAGCTGCTGTAATCTCTTCTGGGGTTAGTAGGTGGTGTATCATCCGTGTTATACACTGTATGGCTACCTGCTAATGGTCCTATCAGGGCACCACTCGCTAGTTCCCTTACACACTGCCGCATTCCTAGCCTCTCCTTCACGGACTCAAAGCGTCAGACTGCAAACAGCTGGCTCCAGGTTAACAGTAGAATTACAACTAAGGTGAACATTTACCTTTCCAGAGTCTACCTAGAATACCCTGTCTCAGACTCCCTCAGACTCCCTCCAGAGTCTGCAACCCTGTAGTTTTTAATCTCCCCTTCTGGGGAGAATAAAACCCTTCTGGGATTTAATCCTATTGGTGATATTGAGAAAGAACCAGGTTGTTTCCATGTGGTCAGCACATCTTTACCTTTCTGGCAGTCTGACATGGCAACAACTGAGCCTGCTACTACTTTTACTTCCCGCTGTCTCAGAGCCTAACCCGACAGCACTAGAATGTCTTATTTCAGAGATCTGTAGTCCCTTGAACCCTGTATCTGTAGCTCTGTAGGGAAAGAACCCCTGATCCTCCTGTGCCTGACTTTTCCTGAGTTTTCCAGCTTCTTGGTGACTGTTCTCTGGCTACTTCCTAAGTAGTGTTCTCACACTAAGATGCATAAACTGTGGAAACTAGACAGCTAACTACCAGCCTACCAAAAGTGATGCAGTCATGGATGTTCTCCCTACAGGGCTTTCTGATGTTATCTGTGTATAGTTAATAATTCACAGCTGTAGGTGTATGCTGCACAGTCCATACGTGTGAATGTTTAATTTAGTTTTTCCACCTTAAAATGCATGTTTGTAAATCTCACTCACAGTTTCCTGTTCTCACTAATAATCTTACAGATTGTTATTTCCTCTGAATTCATTCATGGTTCCGTTTTCACTTTGTGAACGTGTGCTCATTATCAGACATTTGTTATTCTTTGATACTTAATCCCTCACTTTGTTTGGAAAATGTCCACAGTATCCATGAAGTTTTTGGACATTTTAAAAACGTATAAATGAAATAGTGGTGACATTTATTAATATAGTGTTATGCTATTACATTTAATTTGTGTTTACTTCTGTGCACACAAGTATAAATTGTGTATTATTGGTTACATGAGGTTACATCTATCTGCTGTTGTGATTTGGTTAGGAATAGATGAAGGTCAGATTTGTCTTAAAATGGAAAACCATAGAATCTTAAAATTCAGGATTGTACCTAGACCATCAATTTTCAGTGTAAATTGGACAACAATACAAACTGGACCTACCAGACTGGGCGACCTCTGATACGGGTTTTCCAGTCACATGAGAAATATGTCCGAGGATAGAGAAGATTGCAAAGCCAGCAAACACACTGGTTCCGCAGTTGGTTAGACAAACTATAATGGAATCTGTATAACAGTTGTTGTGAAACTTGTTGTATGAAGACAAGGCGATCAGGCCTCCTGAAGTGGTTGAAAGAGAAAAGAAAATCTGTGCTGCCGCATCCTTCCAGACCTGGCACACAAAGAAAAAAAGAATCAACCTTTCAAATGCACTCAATTTCATAAAAATGACAGACAGCATTTTTCATGGAAACGACTGCAAAAAAAAGAGATTTGAAAGCTGCGTGTTCTATGACATAGGGTGTTCTTTTGTTCAATGATGTTGGCTTAATAATTAATCAAGTCATCCTACTGCTGTCATACTCTCTGAACAAAAATCCACAATGCAGAAGGGAAGGCATCTTAACAATGAAATGGAACACACTACAAATAGGTTGTCAAGAATGAAAAGAAAAAAAGCAGATGTGACATACAGTAACATCATACAGCATTTTGACATTTGTAGAAAAGTTGCCCAATTAATTGCTTATGTCAATTTAGCAGTCGGAATTCATTATATGAAATGAAAGCCAGAAAAAAAGAGGCTTTGGGGTAAAGAATATGGTCACTGCTCTCCCGGATAAAATTAATACTAATTATTAATGGCTTGCTTTGTACAGCACTTTTCATCCCAAATAGTCCCGCAATACTTTACATATAGTAGGAGGCTCACTTCATCCACCACTGAAATGCAGCACCACTGGAGTGATTGGCAAGAGGTACAGTATTGTGCCCTAGCTTCTCCACTACACAGCAGATCAGGTTGAGAAATTAGAAATGACTTCTTTAGTTGTACAATCCCAAGCAAGACAAATACATTTAGGACACCAGGTTTAACACTACATTTCCAAGCAGTACTGTGGGATCTCTAATGACTATGTAGTTGGAATCTCTGTATATCTCTGTCACAGGACAGTACCTCTTATAACACAGTGTCCACTGTTATCACATTGAAGCATCTGTTGGTAAATTATTGTCCAGAGCAAAGAGTTCCATCTACTGGAGCACCACTTAGTAGGGTTGGGTTGGTTTCCCATCCAGGATTGTCCAGGCCCACCCTTTTTAAGATGAGTTCTGATTAACTCAGTAAGGCAGTAACACTAATAGGGTTGTGATCAAGCTGCATTTTACACTTTAAAGTACAATAGCATTTAAGTTTACTCTCTATAGTGTCCATCACTTGAGAAAGGGACACTTGAGGAGTTTTTGCTTTTAAAAAAACGCTCACCTCAGCTTCTGCCAATTTAGAAAAATTTGACTGAGTGCCGATGTAATATTCAATCCCTTCTCGAGCTCCTTCCAGAGTGGCCCCTCGCACCAGAAGAATCAGGAGCACCAAGTAGGGGAAGGTGGCAGTGAAATACACCACCTGTGGAAAGACGTATCTGTATAGTGTAACAGCACACACTGAAAAACCGCAACAACAAACTAATGGTTCATTGTGTAGCAGCTGCACAAACCCTTTGGCAAGCCTTGCAATGGATTATTCTCAATTTGGAAAAATGCCAGTGTTGTGGCAGCAGAACAGATGTGCATTCAATTATGAATATTTGTTTTCTTTCACAACAAAACTGAGAAGACGAATACTGCACTAAGCCCTACTATGATTTATTCATGTTACGGTTTCAAAACCTGAGACTGTATTAAGCAGAAACACTAGGTTATCATTTTGTAATTTTCTAAATTAATAAAACGATTAAGCTTCTCAATCATTAAAAAATACCAAGATTATAAAATACTCCTGTACAAGAGTGTCCAAAACTAGAACAGCATTTTAAATAAAATATTATAAAACAGCTTTTAGAAAATTATTGTGACATGTCTTAATCAACTCAACTCATATCTCAATTCATTCCTGTGAGGTCATAAATATCAAGTCTCCTACAACAGTAGTTTACTATTAAAAGAATGATGGAGACACACATAGAAGGGTTCTGTGCAAAAATGTGGAAAACTAGATTTGTAGAACCCCAGAACAGGAAACATCAAGAGAAATTCTGCTATGAAAGTATAATAATTCAAAACTATGACACATTAATTCATTTTTTGAAACACTGATCTGAAAAAGTGTATTTAGATTAATCAGCCTGTTTCCTCATAAAACGGATAAACACCTTCAGGAAAACAAATAACGATAGAAAGGGAACATTATTCTACACTTACTGTTTGTGCCAATATTTGATGAGAATTTTGAAATGGGTTTCCCAGTACAATTCCACAACCTTGAAAAAACCCTGTTTACTTTCTGTATTTGAGTCTGCACCCGGTCCTGTATGACGCACAACAGCAATCAAACACTTCTTGCAATCTTTACATTGGGCACTTTTTGTAGTTGGTTAAGCATTACATTTATATGGACTCTGCCAAGACACCTGTTTTTAATATGCTACATTTAATTCAATATCCATTTAGTTGGAATATGGCACAATGTGTAGTCAAAAAGTCATGTCTATTTGTGAAGGTGTGCCTTGTACAATGTCATCTCACTCCAAAGCAAAGGTTTTAGAATTGTTTCCAAAATCTTATTTACAACAAATGTTGAAGAAAGAAAAGACATTTCATATGCTGTATTATCAGGTTAATGTACTTACTTTCCCTGATGACTTAATGCCTTTATACAAGGCAGCTCCGACCAATATCCAGGACAGGAGGAGGCAGAGGGCCAAATGCCAGACAACTTCTCCTGTTTCATCCAATCCACTTGACCGGCGTAGAGCTACTTTGCTAAAGAAATAAAAAAGAGCTTTTTTGGAATTTTATTGATACAGTGCTTGTAGAACAAAAAGAATGGATAGACTAATGAAAGGAAAAGTATGCTTAATCATTCAGCTTTCATAAAACCTCAGTCCTTCTTAGTATTCATTTAGGATTTATTACTAAACCATGCTTTTGTTCGCAATACTTACTTGTTTCCACAGAAACAATTGAATTAGAAGAACGAAAAGAGGCTTCCTAGCTTCAGAGTGTCAGCTTTCATATTTTTCTTACTATAAGTGGGGGTCATTGCTAATTCATAGGGTTATTAATTGTTTACTCAGCTTGATTTGTTACTAATTTGTACTCTTTATGTGTAATTACAGATGCTTTAATTTAAGTATCAACTAGTTTTATTCTTATAGGATGTAAAAATGCATTGGGCTGTTTGGGCTGTCTGCAAAAGCTCTGAAAAATAGGTCAGATAATGTATAAGCTGCAGTATAAAGCAGTTGGTACTTCTGACACAAAGCTTGTTCATCTTTCAATCAGCTGGAAATGTCCTGAATTTAGATCTTGGACAGTAATCTGCCTTTTGCAGTGCAGTTGGGAATTAAACATATTTATAAATCATCTTAACTGTTCTGAATGTAGAAAATGGCCAATATAATAAATTCCTATGATATTTAAAGTTTCTAAATATAATCTCAGCACGACATTTAAAGGGCAGTAACATTGTCCATTCACATTTCACTCAAAAACGTTGGAAAATAAAATGACACCTCACGAAAATATTGCTGAAAATAATCAAAACATGTAACTGTTATTACAAACGGAATACTGATATCATAAGTACACTACTATTATATATTATCTTTAAAATGTTGAAGAATTACAATCAAGCATTAGCATTTTGAGGCGGCAGTTGTCTAATAAAAGAGACTCTTCAAGAGGTTAGGCCTAGCAAGAATAATTACATACTGTATTCAAAGAGTTTCTTTGAGAACAGTACTGAATACTTATTTCACAAAAATGTTTTAGTATTATGAAAATTAAGATGAACAATAATCTTCTATCATATATTGTAGTAAATAGAATCTTCACAGTTCACACAATACCACTTACTCCCAATACTGTTCGCTGGGGCTTTGTACAGGCACAGGAATGATGTTTGGTTTGGGACAGATTTTGTTGTTGTCATTCAACCAAGCTGTGTTAACAGTAACAAACTTTCCATCTTCTGATGTTATGTTACACAAATCTGCAGAAAAATAAATTTTTCCTTATTGTGAGATACATTTTGATGAGTTTTACAATATTTATTGGCTCCCTCCCATAGAAAGAATAGAGATACTGTATATGTAACTTATCTTGACTTATTTCAGGAAACAAGATAGATGTACTGATGCATGTAAGCATGGAGTTTATAAAAGTATGAAATAAATGTTAAGAGGCTTTATAGAGAGAAATATAGTTGCTGAACTGATCTTTGGATGTTGCTAAAAACATTTTTCAAAATGTTAAGAATGTTCTTCTTCTTGACAACCTCTCATGTCTCATTTGACACAGAATTACATCAAGGAAAAAATACTTAATCTGTTGTTTAACCATATCCCAATCATGCACTGAACAGGTGATGGAGAATCCCTTTAAAAAAGAAAACAGGGACCAGTCACATACTGTAGTATACTGTATGCACAAATGAATTGTTTTCCATTTAATTTTCATGGCATTTCTTCCATTTCTTTTTCTGATCAGCATGCAATGACAATGAAATGTTTGACAAATATAGTTTTCAATATTTCTGTCAAACCAAATTTAAGGTGGGGAATGATTCAAATAGTGAGGTTTGTTGGGGGTGATTTAATTGGTTGAGAAGAATGACAGCCCATCCATAATGACAGAACTATCAGAAACTTCTCAGGATGAATGAGGAAAGGGGCTGTAGCAAGGGATAAGATGGGGTGGTAGTAGGGATGTAAAAATGAAATATTTAAGTGAATCAGCAAGAAGCAAGACTTTTATACATAGGTTAGATGGAAGGAGATGAGATTACAGTTTTACGACATTCAGAACTTTTGTGTAGATGGAGGAATGGAATTTTAGAAATAGGCCAGTTGCTATAAGGTATGGGATGCAGAACTGATTTGAAATGGATTTTTATTAGTGTAAACACTGGTGTCCTGAATTACAAGGAGCTGGAGGTACATCTGTCCGGTTCTGAACCACAAAATAGGGATTTATCATGCTAATACTATTCAGACCATTCTGGTTTTGTTTCATTGCATTTTGCATTGATTGTGTTATTGTATACCAAGGGTGGGGTTCTCACTTAATTGACTTCTCTAAGAACCTTCTCAGTTAAGAGCGCCATACCTTTAGGAATCTTGCTGCAGTTCTCATCAGACCACTCATAACAGTCACTCCATGGCAAAGGAGACTGGAAGGATGCAAACAGGTAGTAGATGCTATAGGCAATAATGCAGTTGTAATAGATTGTTCCTAGAGTGGATGCTATCACCATCATTATTCCCACACCTGTGAAAAAGATGAATTAAGGTGAATGAGACAAAATATGTACTGTATGTATTTAACAATTTTTATTCACATTCTTGTTTTCTATCAGCAACAGAAAAACTCATGTTTTCTATTAGAAATCAGAACGTGTAAGTCAGTAGCACTATTTTTGGATTTCTGTATCATTAATTCATTTGGAACTCTTGGTAACAAAAGATAGCTTAAATGTTTGTCCATTCTATCACAAAGTAATAAATAATCATACGCTCTAAAAAAAGAATAATTTATGATGACGGGATAATTGAGCAAAAGATGGGCATCAGGGACTGACACTGTGAAATGCAGGATGCCAGCAGCAAGAGGGCAAAAGGCAGAACATACTGTACAAATATATAAGCTGAAGCTGATAACACAATATAGTAGATAAAAGATACAATTCTGGACTGCAGCATTGATAAACCTATGCCAGTTTAGGTAGTAGCATAGACAGGTAAAACAAAGGATTGAAAAAGAGGACACCTTTAGAGGGATCTAAATCATTAACAATGGAATGATAATGGAAAACTAATAAAACTGCAATGACATCACATTTTATTATTACCTGATCTAATGCATAATTGTATTTTCAGTTGAGAAAGCAAGAATATATACATTATCAACATTTTAAAACATAGACATGTGCATTCCTGACTTTATTATTGATGTCTGATGTGGACTTAGTGTGTTTTTATGAAATTTTAAATATATGATCACTTAATGTTTACTCTGTGGTATTTTTCTCAGTTGTCCAAGATCCTCCCTTCCTTCTCTGAGCTCTGGGATTTGATATAAATAATTTCCTGTGGTGACTAAATGAGCTCTATGTTTGATTCATCTCACTGAGCCAAATAACTTAGTGAGTGTAAATCGGTGAGTAGTAAAT